CACTGGAAGCAATCTTCTTTCATGCATATCCCTCTACTTTTTCGTTACCATTTTCCTTTGCTTTTTTTTTATTACTTCTATAAATTAAATTTTACAAATTGAATTACGTATGAATTTTATCCATTGGGAGATGATCGATCAATAATATAGGCACATTCAAAACGAATCAGAGCCGTAGAGTAAGTTTAATCTGTCAGACCATTACAACTACGCAGACTGTTTTTACCCTAACTGTTAGTTCGACACTTGCCGACATGTACGAGGCTAATTTAAACCTATTACCAGAGACTTTGTGGTTTATCACACTAAACATACTAGTTCTCCTATGGACGACAAAGTTGTCCCAGATCAGTATTTAGCTGGGTGACTAAATGTGTTCTCTGTACGAAGCAAAGCTTTATAAATAAATTGAGTGTTCTGTTTTACAACACGTATCACTTCGAAGAAGGGGTAGAAATGTGTTGCAAAGCCGAATCTGAGCTAAGCAGAACCAGAAAAGATAGTCGAAAATATCAGTTTCTCTTGGTAATACTCGTTATCGTAAAATCAGAGCATCTGTCGTAAAGCGACAGCTAATCTCGCTAGTTATTGTTAGTAAGTTTGATTCTCATTTGGAGCTCATTGTGTTTACCATCTTCACTGAATATCTTCCATGATCTCAAAGAAAATATTAGGTAGGAACCGTGAATTCTTGTTTTCCCTAGCAAATCAATCTAGAATTAAAAACAACTTTTATAGAATCTGTATAACTTTATAATTGAGCGATACAGAACTAATTTTTTCGCTGGTTTCAAATCGGAGAACTGGGCTAAAAGTCTGGCCTAGTGTGTTGCATTCAATTTCACACAAATGTCTTTTAGAAAAAATAATCTATCGTTTACCCTCCATCTATGGGTTAAGCAATAGACTGGTTTCTTTATCCTTAAGAGAAATATTACACTGAATTCAAAAACATGAAAAAGTCAATGGGAGATCACTATACTATCTTTCTAAAGGAGTCATGCCAATTCCTAGACAATAAAGATAAAGGAATCTGTGGAGAACCATATTCGCCTAAATAGTCATGGGATACGGCATTTAATAATCTAGTGATATTCAATGTAAAAAGGAATCTGTGGAAAGCCAAATTCGTCTACATACCCATAGGATATGGCATTAAATAATTTTGTGTTGTTTTCCTTTGTCCCACGTGTCTTCAATATAGCCTATGAATATCTAAACCCGTTTTCCTCATTATGTGCCCTAGAAATTTCCACCCTTTCTTCCTGATATTAAGTATAATGTCCTTGTTGCTTCCATTTTCTCTAAAACTTCGTTGTTTCTCACATATAAGGTCCATGGTGTTCTCAGCATCCTTCTGTAGAACCACATTTCTGTTGCTTCAAGACTCTCTTTCATCCGGGCGGTGATTGTCAAGTATTCACGTACATATAGGAGGACTAATATTACGTAACGATTCAGTAAGTTTTCTTGTTTTCTAACGATTTTCTTTTTTGTTTTTTAATACTTTGCTTAGTTTTTGTAAGGCATCTTTGGCTATCCCAATGCGCCCTCGGATTTCAATGTCGCACTTTCTGTCCCTTGTTGAAACACTTCCCAGATATTTCAGTATGTGTACTTGTTTGATTTTGGTATTTCCAATTTATAATTTGCTATTCATTTGCTAATAACCATGCATTTTACCTTCTTGTAACTGATGATAGTCCTTTCTTCTCGCTTCCCTTCACTACCTTCTGTAGAAGTTCTTGAAGTTTCCTTTCTGTGTCTGCTATCAACACTGTGTCTTCTGCATATCTTATTTTGTTTAGATTATTACCGCCAAGAATGATTCCTGGTAGAACATCTAATTCTCTCAGATTTTGTATGCCATGCAAATATACATTCAATCCTTAAATTATTAGGATTAAGAAACTTATTCTTTAATCCACCGTGTACGCTGTCATGCTATTAGTATGCTTCAAAGTTATTCTTAACTGCCAAGTATGATTAGCAGTTAGGGTTTTACATTCGTCATTACAATTGGTTCCACCAAAGCGGAAATTACTTATGACTCAACCTAAGAGATTTCTTACGCTTCTATTACATAAGAGTGAATAATTGCAAAATAACTTTCAGCAAAAATGTCTTGTTTAACTGAACAAAGGCACGCTTCTTTATAATTGCATCTGTTAAGCATAATGGTTAAAACACAAAAGGGCTCACTGTGAGTTAAAGAAACATGCAGACATATTGTGTCTAATAAAGTTGTTATCGACTCATGTGGCAAGGTTTCTAACGTTAAAGCGTCCACATTATCAAATCCCCCCCTCCTAGACACCCAGTCACCCACTTGACTTTTTTTATGTAGTATGCAGTTGGTGTTGTCGGAGAAGTAGGCCAATCAAACGAAAGACTTTTTGTAGATCAACTAGACCGACCCTCCCTATCAAAGCCAACCACTAAACCTTGACAATCGATCATCGCCATTAGTTTTTCTTTTTGTCTTTGAACATGATGCATCAGCGACCGATCAATAGATCGACCCAACGATACAATCGACTTTACAAGGTGCAATATCATAGATCATTTCAAAATACAAAAAGGCCAGAATAATTAAACAAATTCACTTCCCCCCAACCTACTCCCCATATCATTCACTGTTTAGAGCAAAATTGGGTTTTTTTATTCTTTTTCCTATTTCGTTGTTCTCGCCATCTTTACCCCAGTTATTCATTTCAGATTAAATTCAACCCTTCTTTATTTTTCTTCTTTTTCTTCTTTTACTTCTTCTTCTTCTTCAAAGTTTTTCTTCTTCACATTATTCTTCTTCGAATTCTTCAAATTATTCTTTTTTCAAATTCTTCTCCTTCAAATACATAAAATTCTTCTTCAAATTCTTCTTCGAATTCTACAAATTCTTCAAATACTAAAAATTCTTTCTAAAACTTCAAATTCTTCTTTTTCACATTATTTTTCTTCAAATTTTTCTTTTTCAAATTCTTCAAATTCTTCTTCTTCAAATTCTTCTTCTTCAAATCCTTCTTTATTTAGAAACCGATAAATATCCAGGTACCGTATATAATCGTGCATAAGCAGATTTCATGTAAAGTGCAACTCATGTATTTTTTTCATGAATTTTAACCCCTCCAGAAATAATATGTGGGTATAGTGCAACTGGTTACTGAAAATGGTTGATTTAACCTCTGCCAAAAAATTGGCTGTGTATCGTGCACTACCCTTATTTTTATCATAAAACTCACACTCTACGCGAATATATACGGCAAGCAAATTTTCCTGTCAGTCTTTCTTTTCCGACCTTTCCAGTTTTCATCATTTTAAAAAAATCTTCTCTGAATCTTTATCTCCCAACTCCTTTTCTTTTGTTCATTCTTGCTTACTTTCTCTCTTTTAAGTGAACTTTTCCTCTTCTCAGTTAATTTTTTTCTTTCTTCAACTTCTCACCTATATTTTTCTCACGATTGTTAAAACAATCGCTACTCTCCTTCTGTTCTTATTCATATTCTTCTATGTTCACTCTCATTCTTTCTTCCTTATCTTATCTTTGTTCTTTATTATTCATCCCTTTATTCTCATATTCCACATTCCTTTCTAAAGTTCTTCTACCTTTTGTCCCTTATCTTTCTATCGTTTATTCTCATCTTCCTTCAAACTTTCTAAGAGGTTCCTGCTTATTTATTCATTCCTCTATTATTCCCAATTCCAAATTCTTCTTACTTTTAGTCTCTACATTCTTATTCTGTTATTCTTTCCACCTTCCAAAAGCTTTCTTGCTTTTTCGCCCTCATTTTCTCATTCTTTTATTCTTGTATTCTATCCTCTTATAATTCTTGTATTCTATCCTCTTATAATTCTTCGTTGATGTTGCACCTCATTTTCTCATTCCTTTATTCTTGCATTCATTTTTCATTCATATTTTTTTTTACTTTTAGTACACTTATTATCTCATGCATTTCTTCTTTCTTTTATAAGTTTTTAATAATTTTCCCTCATTTTCAACCACCATTCTATGATTTTTTTCTCCCTATTTTAGCTTTCATTAATATGAATTATTTTTAGTATGAATTTTGCATATATATATATATATATATATATATATATATATATATATATATATATATCCATATATATATATATATTTTTAAATAAATATATATATATATATATATATATATATATATATATATTTTAAGTAAATAAATATATATATATATTTTTTAAATAAATATATATATATATATATATTTTTAAATAAATAATTATATATATATATATATATATATATATATATATCCAATTTTACTAATTTTAATAAATAAAAGGTTTAAATAAATATATTCCTCCTCTTTCATTTTTATTATAACTGGTGTCATCATCATCATCATCATCATCATCACCACTATAGCCATCACCACCTTATTCTTTTCTGTTGTGTCTTCTTTTCTTTTCTTCTTAACATTCGCGATTATTGATCTCGCCTTTTGGCTTTGAGGCGGAAATTAAATAAATCCACTTTCCTCCATATTCATAGGCGACGTTTCTCCAATTTTATTAAAATGGGTATTGTTAGGGTTAATATTTGGCGCCTCAGGGGCTCCAAAAGGGAAATAACGAGTGGACCCTACTTCTATTTGTCTTCTTATCTTATGTACGCATGGGAATTCTCACTTTCAAACCGGTTTTCGGCCATATTCTTTTCAAATGTTCAATTTACTTTCTTGTCTATCTCATTTCGTTCTACTTTAGTTCATTTTTTTATCTTTCTTTTCTTTTTATTACCTCTCTTTTTTTTTATCATCCTTTTTATCCAACTTCTTCTTCAAATCTGACAAGTAACTTCCTTCTTATATGCATCGGTTCTTCGTTTGAAATTCACTTCATATTAATCATATTGCATCATGGGATTTGCAAAGAATAAAAGATTATATTTTCTTCTCTCTAATTGACTGAGACAAATCCCAACAGCAGTAAAATCGTAAACATTATTCTTTGAATTTTAAATGTCAGGCGTGAGCATTAAAGAACATCAACATAAAAATACGCTCGTACACATATTGTGCATCGTGATAGATAGATAGATAGATAGATAGATAGATAGATAGATAGATAGATAGATAGATAGATAGATAGATAGATAGATAGATAAAAGAATGAGATACATAAAGAACAAGCTTAGATATTTAAAAAAAAAAAACTTAGATAGATATTGCTATATATAATTTTTTTAATTCAGCTAGCTTATATAAATGTACATATTCTCTTACCATACAGTTAAGCGGTTTGCATAGAAGAGTGAATCAATAAGTCCGTAACCTGGCGCAGTTATTGGATAAAGTTTGATCGAAAATCGATCTTATGTTCGAATGATGTGATTAACTCCCTGGTTGAATGCATTGGCAAAGAATATGATGTTCAAAATCTATATGTGCCCAATAACTGTACCTACATGTATGTAAATATATTTCTCTGTATATGGTGATATATTGAAAGTTTATCGAGAAGAGATTGTCAAAGAAAATTTGAAGTTGTCACTGCAAAGAGCGATGACATCTCGTGGACCTGAGAAACCTATTTTCCTGAATAATTGTTTGAAGAGAAAGATTTTATAATTTCCACTGGCTACTCGGTCAATGAATGCAAAATGCTCTAGTGTAAGGAAACAGCTAATATTACTATTACAATTACTATGTATTTGACTAATATGATTCTATCTTCTGTCTTAAAAAGCACGAAGTAATTTTATTTATTCATGGATAACAACATTTGCTGAGACAAATCCATTGTTTTATTTTATTGGTTGATTGATGGCTTTACTATTAAAAGCAATTATCAATTCTTCATTTTTAATTAAAAATGCATAAATGGAAATGTTTAAAAATGAGTTTCTCTTTTCATAACTTAATTAGAATCCTTGGTAAGTTTAATGTATGCAAAAAAATCTTATTATTAACGAGAAAGTTCAAATTCAATTTACTTGTAATATTTTGCGAGTAGATTAAATTAGCTATTGTTAATAAGTGACAGGCAAGATTCTTCAAATTCTCAAAACTCTATTAATTTTGCAAACTTCGGTTTCCCTCGTAATCAAAATCAGATTACACTTTGAATTTTCAGTTTCTCCAAACTTGTCTCAAACGTTTTTTTCGGTACGATTTCAAATGGACTATTTATTATAAACTCAGCCCCTTCCAAAGCTTCTTTTCTTCCTAGGCAATGTCAATTAATTGATAACATTTTTATTTAATCTTCTAATATGTACCTATATTTTAATTAAAACGTACGCAAATTTGAAATTAATTGTGAATGAGACTAAAATTTGAGGTACAAATTATATCATTTCCTAGAAGTTATCATAGTGGATTAAAGCGTTTTCGATTAGTACGCATTACCCACACTAATCAAGGGATTACTGTATATATAGATAAGCCAGGGTTCATTGATTTGTAACGCGCGAAACATATTAGCTTGAGTTGATTATGTTCATATCTAACAGTTTAGATAAAATTAGGCATTCATATTTTGCATATACACCAGGCTATATCGAAATAAGTTATAAAAAAAAGAGAAAATTTTTTGCGCACTTGATACAGTTTCTGCCCTGTTTATACACAGTGTATGAAATTAAAGTGAGTGAGTAAAAAATCGTTGAGATCGTTTTTCCCATATTATTAAGTAAGAACTTTTTAAAGAGCTTTTCTGTTCATAAATGTCAAGTTTGAAACTGTTCTGTCGTCATTGATAACTGCTTACTATTGATTTTATCCTTTTCCCCGTTTCGTAAGAGTACGCAGTTATCAATGACGTAAGAAAAGTTTCAAACTTGACATTTGTAAATAAAAACAAAGTACAGATAACTCTTTATGAAGTCAGGGATCAATTCGATTTTATTATGTTTTGACATTTTATTATTAATAAATTTAAAATTATCAACAGAATTCTAAAATAATGAAAAATTATCGATTCTGACAAATGTTGTGTCTTGAAGGTTTTAATGTATGTTTCTATAATTTCTTCTTCTTTATCCAATTAGACCAGTCAATTTAAGCAGGACCAATAAAAAATAAGTATATTTCTCTGGTTCTTTCAAGTACAAATAGATCACACACTCCAAGTTAGAGGACTAGATCTCGTTACACTAAACGAAGAAAAAAAAAGAACTGTTAAATAATGGATGACGCCACTCCAACAAAAACACAAAATTAAAATGAAATTGAAATAAATTAAAAAGTGAAAAATTTCTTGACTTTGCTAGAAAATTAAAGAAGTTGTGAAATGTGAAGATGACGGTCGTTTCTATCAGTAACAGAGCACTCGTAACAATCCTGAAGAGTATTGCAAAGAAATAATAATCCGAAAAGATACTGAGAATCATACTGAAGTATTGAAGATGTTGATCTCTTGTGAAAACCATCATTTCCTATTGCTGAGAAAATAATAATAATTAAAAAAATAGAAATAAAAATAGTTATTCTCTTTTCTTCCACTGAATCTTGAGATTCCCACAATCGCATCATAAAAAAGAAAATTGCTTAAAAGGTGAGAATGTAGCCTTCCTTTTTCAAAACTGAATGTATTTGGTGAGTTCGTGCCAAAATTTGTTGGTGTTTCGATCGGATGTCAAACATCCGACTCATCACACCTCTTCAATTGTGTGACGAACACCTTTATCAGGTTTTGCCCTATTCAATTAAAAACATTTTTGCGGTTCTTTCGCACTGGTTTAAATGATTTACTAGATTATCACATGAATCACACAATCGAAGTGATTGGAATGCCGACGACAGAACGATGGTAAGTTGACAGACGCTGTGAGTTCGATCTTCACTGACTGTTTCACTACGGTTAGCTTGTCTCAAAATAAAAAAAATACAGATAGACAGATAGGTATGAATATACTGAAATAAATAAATAGATAGATAGATATGAATATACTGAAATAGATAGATAGATAGATAGATAGATAGATAGATAGATAGATAGATAGATAGATAGATAGATAGATAGATAGATATGAATATACTGAGATAGATAGATAGATAGATAGATAGATAGATAGATAGATAGATAGATAGATAGATATGAATATACTAAAATAGAGAGAGAAATACGGTTAGATATTTAGTCATAATATAATATCGAAAAGCTAGATAAAGAAATATTTGGACATCCTAAATTGTAAATAATTGTAAATCAAAAGATTTTGCAGCATAAAATTTCGTAGCATAGTTCACCATTTATGGACGTCAAAGAAAAATCATGAAATGTTGTTCTACTGAAACAGTTTTAAATTGCACAAATTGGTATCTTAAAAGTTTTAAAAGTTCAATTAAAGTTGAAGAAACTGAAGCAAAGAAAGAATGACGAACATTGATTTTACTGTTATCATCATTTACAAAAAAAGAGGGGAACAGTTTAGACAGTTTAAATTTTCGGTAATAATCAATGGAAAATCCGCATAAATTTACTTAAATTGCACAGAGAATCTGAGGATATAAAAAAAAGAAATTCTGGGCAAATATGTTTATGACATCAGATGGTAAAACCTTCGGAAATGGGATCAAAATTAGCCAAAATAATTCCAGACTATATCATTAAGTTTTAAGAAAAAATGAATTTAAAAAAAATACATTGAATGTAGAATAAATCTATGTCCGCTCGTTTTCGTCAATCAAATACAATTTATCAATTATCATATTTTTCCTGTCACAATCTATCTATCTATCTATCTATCTATCTATCTATCTATCTATCTATCTATCATTTTCATTCACTCTCGCGTTAAAACGTCACCTTCAGAATATGTCATAAATATCAGATTCTTCTGTTATAAAATCCTGTATTTAAACGCCACTTGTTGTGTGGTTGAGTAGTATAAAGGAAAGTGGCATATAAACTGAGTTTATATTCCGATCAATGCTGTTTCTTTTCTTTGAATTCGTACCAATGCTCTTGTAGGAGGCATTCATCTTACACCAGTTATGGAATAAATATCAGTTGCAGATTTTTTTTTTTTGGGGGGGGGGAGTCTCTTGTCTTGAGTACCCCGGTTATTCTAGAAGAAGATCTCCAAATTAAAAAATCCGAAGGCAATTATCAGTTCTTACGAAAACTGTGTCCAGTTTTAAACAGACTACAATCAAAACATATGGGGGTACTCTGGTCCTGTAGAACTGCTAGAATATCATCCGTCAGAATCAGAGGTACCATCAAACAATACACACATACACAAACGAACACACACACATATATATATGTGTGTGTGTGCGCGTGTGTGTGTATGTATGTATGTATATAGTATATGTAAAACTTCACAAATTTACAGGATGAAAATGAAATACTTCTTCCAAAATAAAAATTATTTTTAGACATGTTTTTTGAGAATCAATCGATCCGTCATTCTCGTTGCGCTCAACGAAAAGCAAAAATATCGATCTCAGATTTACAAAGAATCGAATTCACTTGTTTTTTTTTAACAAAACTTGATATTTCAACCTCAGAAAACATTATTTACTTATCTTGGTTTATTACCAAGATAGAAGTTGAGGGTATAAAGACTGTACTGCGGCAATCTGCAATGAGGGGCCTGCCTAATGAACGTGTTGGGAAGAAAGAGAGAGAGAGAGAGTACATGAAGTAGATTTTAAGAAGGAGAGAGTAAGAGAAAATGAGAGAGGTATTCGCATAGATGTTGAGAAAGAGGAGGAGAGAACACAAGAGAAAGGGAATGCGAGTGACGAAGATTACAGAGAGAGTGTGAGGGAGAAATTATGAGGAGGAAACAAAAATAAAGCCTGAAGATTGTATTGCATCAGTTAACCATGTGGGATAGGAATTGTCTGCTTGTTTGCACGCCGCTTGAAGAGAGAAAGAGAGATAGCACAGATGAAGTAAAGACGGCTAGAAAGCAAGATAGAGTGATAAAAATTATGTGAAAGAGAGACAGAAATAGAGAAAACGTGGACGAAGGAAAAAAAAAGATTCAGAAAGAGAGAGAGAAAGTGATAAACATTACGTCAGAGAGGAAGAGAGAAAAAGAACGTAGTCAAAGGAAAGTGTCAAAAGTGATAAAGATCATTTCAGAGAGAAAGAGAGGAAAAGATAAAGAGAGAAAGAGGACGAAGGAAAGACAAAAGTCAGAAAGAGAGAGAGGGAAAGTGACAAAAATTACGCGGGACAGAAAGAGAGAGAAATAGATAGAGAGAGAGAGAGAGAGCGTGGACGAAGGAAAAACAAGAGTCAGAAAGAAAGAGAATGGTAAACATTACGCCAGAACAATAGAGGAAGGGAATGTGGACAAATGAAAGAGTCCGAAAGAGAGAGTGAGAGTTTAAACATTATGTGAGAGATAAAGAGAAGTGAGAAGGAGAACGTGAGCAAAGGGAAAAGTTAGAAAGAGAAAGATAGTTATAAACATTACGAGATAGAGAAAGAGAGATAGAGAGATAGAGAACGTGGATAAAGGAAATAGCCAGAAATAAGAGAGGTTGATATTTTGATCATGTGATGTGAGAGAGAAAGCACTGAAAAGAGAAAAAGAGAAAGTAAACGAAGGAAAGACAAGTGTCAGAAAGAGAAAGAGAGAGAGAGAGAGAGAAAGAGTGAGTGATAAACATTACGTGAGTAAGAAAGAGAGGAAGAGAGAAAGAGGACGTTGGCAAAGATAGCGTTGAGAATAGAGAGAATGATAAACAGTATATGAAAGAGAAAGGGAAATAGAAAAGTGTGGGGTCCGAAAGAATCAACGTCTAAGTGTAACACAACCTTGTCCATGAAATCGAGACAACATATTGAATGTTTATTGGTTCGGCACACATCATTCAATGAAACTCCGTGCCACGAATATCTTCGTTCAACATTCACATTTCCGTTGTATTTATTGATCCTTAAGTGATACATGTAGATCGTAGGTGTAATTTTAATGCCAATTCATATAATAATAATAATAATGGTAATGATAATATTAACCGTTTCCCTCCAAGGAAACATTTGACATTCATTGGCGACCAGTCGCTACTGATATCGGATGAAATTTATAAAATTTTTCCCAAGAAAATACGTTTCTCAAGTCCAGCAGCTGTTATCACTCTTTTCATTACAGATGTCGTGTGGAATGTCAACACCATAATTATGTCATTATTTTCTCTTCGAGTACAGTTACAGTTATTTTTAATGATTCTGTAGCGCCAGTCTACAATGTTCAAAGAAGGATGGTCTTTACCAAGACCTATCGACTTCCTCACTTAAATCTACTTTTAACCATTAATCTTAGAAAGCAATTGTATACAGTTGACATTTTAGATATTTCTGAAGAGGTTTAGCACAATAATAATAATAATAATAATAATAATAGTGTAGGACTTTAAGTGGTAATCTATATCACTGAATTTCTAAATAGAGAAAATCGGAATAAAACCTTGTATTCGATCGTTTCAAAAGTTTGCATTAGTTGGTTTTCTACGAAAGCAATTATCAGTCTGAGGTCGTACAACTTCTAAATAAATAAACGGCAAATTCTGTCTGTCCGTCCGTGTGTCTGAAACCCCACTAATTCGGGCCATACTTGCTCTACATAGACATATTTTACATTTTGGGAATCGTGATGATCCTAAGATTGAACATCCAACATTGGGATTTGTGTCCGGATGAGAAGGGAACAGTTACAAATTCAAATTTTGAAAATAGCTAAAAAAAAAAAAAAAAATTAATGATTTTAAAAGTTTTAATTAATATTGAGTTTAAAATAACACAAAACCTTTGAGAATTTATTTTTTTATTTTTGTTTTAAATTCAGTTTTTTTTTTCTCCTCCAAAACTTTGTGAACCGAGGAAATCAATTTTAATTTTTTCGAAATTCTAAGGAATCATAGTTAAAGTGAGAGGTTTTGTGACGTGACATTCTGAAGTCTACGGAGTTTGTGGTTTGAAGAACTCAATTTTCAGCCTGTATTGGAATTTTGGCCCAAATCTGACTTTCGGCCGGAATTGGTAGCCCGAATCAGAGTTAAAGTGAGGTTTTGAAGTTCTATGGAATGAATTGAAGAATTTAAAGTTATTTCTTCAAAATTATCATTACGGTTTTCTAAGCTGAACCATGGTCCCTTTAGTTTTGTACTGGAGGCCCGATTAACCTTCCGCAAAAGCTAGCTTAAGTCCACACTTTTAATTTAGTTATAATACAAAATCTCCAGTTGAAAACGAAGACAGTGTCAAAGACAATCAATGAAGGTCAATCACAGTTGATATCACAGAGTCATTGTAAATTCAATTATCCTTCACCAGGGCGCTACATACGGTTTTTTCGGATTCAGTGATATCTTTCTCTTTGACTGGTAGCTACCCAAAGCTGAAAAGTTAAATTTGTTCTTATTTAACCCATAACTGTTAGTTATTCATACCTTCCCAATGGTATTAGCGCGAAAGTGGGTATAACGAATGCCGACTGGAATGCGAACTCGGATCCACAATTTCTCGCACATCCTCCGAAAGAAGATGATAGTAATAACTGACATGAGAATTGAAAAAAAAAAACAAAAGTGATCATCAACTATAATAATTTAATGTGTGAAATTTGAAAGTTCGGGAAGAACTACCAAAGAAAATAATTACAGTACCAGTAATCATTGGAGGACTGGATTGTTTCACAAAAAACATGAAAAAATAATTGTAAATATTGGATTTTGATTTGGAAATGAACCCATTACAAAATGCCTGTCTGTTCGGAACAGCAAAGATGCTGATTTATTCATTTCTATTTTTACGGCTTAACAACACATGCAGGTTATTTAAAGGTAGAAAACAGTTTTAGATTGTAAGAATTTTTTTGAGAAAATAATGATTTAGTGAAATACAAGACTTACTAATTGACACCTTAGCTCGGGGAGAGGTGGATTCATGCCTTCCCCAATGTATATGCGCATAAGTGAATATAACGAATACAACTGGAATTGGAACTCGGTTCTCCAGTTAACAATTCTATTCCATTGTCTATTACAGCACCCGCACATCCAAGCTTATTGCACCTGGTATTTCCAATCGGTCACTCATTTAGGTACTGACCAGGCTCGATATATATATATATGTGTGTGTGTGTGTGTGTGTGTGTGTGTGTGTGTGTGTGTGTTCATTTCCGTCGTTTTCTCATTTTTTAACTTTTTATCCTCCTCCTCCTCCTCCTCCTCCTCCTCACATCTTTCCCTTCCTCCTCTACCTTAATTTTCCTCCCCGCTTAATATCT